TTGTGGAACTCGACAGGGAACTTGATCCCAGAATGGAGACTCCAGGGACATATTATGCTCGAAACCTTTCTGTGGAACTTTCGAAGTAAGGATGCTACTGTAATAAGCGGCAACGTACCCACAAATATCCTCGTTGGCTCTTGCCAGTGGGACTCTGATTTGTAACGGGTGCTTTAACTCGGTCACTTGCTGTCTCTTACTTGTAGGAAGAAGGCGTTTGAAAGTCTCCTTGGTCATTCTATCTCCTGTTGCAATGCCTTTCGCCTGCAGGATGTGCTCCCACCGCTTCTGCTTCTCCACTTGAATCTCCTCCCAAATTATTAGCCTTTCCTGCCTTTCCTCCGCCCTCCCAACCTACTCTCTGCCTCCTCCACTCTCCTCTTGCATTCTACCTCTTTGAAGTTCCTGAGATAGGCCGCAATCCTTGAGTAGGTATCCAATCTCTGGGAAACAACGTGGAGGTCGGCATCCAGCCAGTCAACTTTGGACTCGAACTGATCTTTCATGAGTTGCCAGTCTTTCCAGAAAGTGGTTGTCTGATCCCTTCGTCTTCTAGATTGGTTACGTTCAGTTGGAAGCAGCCTGGACCTCTTGTCCCGCAGTTCGAGGTGCGGATACTGAAAGCCACCAACTTATAGTCGGAGAGTGAGGTCGTGATGACCAGCGATGACGTTACCTTCTTCGCTAGTGGAGCCGGCAAAAGGAAGAAGTCCAATCTTCTTTGGACCCCTGCTGATGGGCCTGCGTTACCAAACCAGGTGTAGCCTGGATTTAATGGATTCATTGATATGAAGATTGTCCTTCATTGACCAGTCTTCCTTCCACCTTAGTAACACGACTTGATCGGTGTGAAACCCCGTATCTGCTTCCGCATCAATCCTCGGATCTAACACCACATTCCAATCGCCTCCAACCACAAGTCTGTCTGACTTCGGAACGATATATGGCAGGGATTCAAAGAATTCTCTTCTCTCCTTCTAATCATTCGGTGCGTAGACTGTGGCGAAAATCCATTCCTGCCCTTCAATCGTCACCTTCACCCAACACCACCTCCCCCATAAGTCGGAATCACAGTCTACCAAGCTAGCCTCAATCTTTTTGTGGAAGAGGATTGCTACCCCCCATTTGGATCCCCTGGCTGGGGACCAAAGTTGGGGGCCGTCCCACCACTCCTCAATTTCCCTTCCGAGAGTTTCGTCTCCTGAATCAAAGCAATATCAATGTCCTTCTCGTGGATCCATGATTTCAACCGCTTTCCTTTCTCCTTACCTCCTGTGTCACCAAGGCCTTGCACGTTTCATGTCCCTACTTTGAGTTTATTCATCTGCATTCAGTAAGCCGCCTGACGATTGGTTGCGGATAGAAGAATTGTTCTCTTGGTTGACCGCGTTTGATGTTTCAGGCCACGGGTCGCTCAAATTTCTTGCGAATAACTCAGAAGAGAAATCTTGTCATCTTGGCACCTTGTTCTTCAATTCTTCGAAGGCGGTCGCCGAGACCTCTGGCTCAACCACTATCTGCGCAAGCATAAGCATTGAGGGATCAGCAAAAACGTTAATCGGGACGCTTGTCAGCCCAATTCTGTTGATGTTCGCCCATTGATAATTTTGGAATCTTGCATCGATCAGCGGTATGGAGTAGCGAATACGTTTACCTCCGGGGAGTTCTACGTCCAGTTTCGGCATCAATCCATCTGGGCAGATGCGAAAATCGAATCTGTCAGCAAAGAGTTCTCTTACTTTGCGCTTGATGATTTCTATCGTGGCCAACCCGTCAATCTGTGGCAAGACCATTTTTCCTTCTTTGTTGACTAATCCGAGTACATGAATCACTTGTGTTTGCATCGTGTAGACTAGTGGCAGAATCCATCTCTCTTCGTAGCCCGCTATTCCTGCTTGATGTGAATTGACTCCCTCCGTTGCGTGTCCTGGTGATTCATCTAGCGAATTGTTGCCGCTAGGGTCCCGCGAGCCGCTCGGATCCCCTTGGAGTCCTGATGCTTGGTCTTAGTGGATTTCCTTGACACCATTTGTTCCCACGCCTGTTCTTCCCTCTTGTCCGACCATCTGGGCGTTTGCCATCCCGTATTGACCTTGATAGGGAACGAATGCTCGTTGTCCGCCTATTATCGTGCCCCCTTGCGTTGCACTTGGATTGCTGCCGTGGGGCCCCAACGCTGGGTTGGGGAGTTGATATCCGCTGTAAGGATATGACGCCATCGAGAATGACGTCATTGGTATGGTAGCTGCGTTTGTCATCAGCAGTTAGCTACTTAGCCTTGGGTCTTGATTCAAGAGCTGGAGCAAAGCTTGAAATTGGTACGCCTCCGATTGGAATGGTCCAGACGTTTGGAGCGACTGCTGAGGGTGTTGCATCCATCCTCCGTGTTGCTGTGCATTGGCTAGAGATTGTGCGGCTGTGTCGTTGTTCCTCGCTTGGTTGTTCGGCCTTTCTCCCCGTTGTTGCGGGGCGCCTTCCGTTCTTGGGTTGCCTTGAGTTGAAGATTTTGCCTCAGATTGAGAACTTCTTTTCTGTTGGAGATCTACGACAGCCTCTTGGATATTCCTATTTTGCTCATTCACCGCAACCCCTCCTCTTCTTCTTCCCTCGTTGTTTCTTCTTGGATTTTCACTCGTTTGTTGTTCTGACAGAGTTTCCCCCATTCTTGGGCAGCCTTCAGTTGCCGTGAGGAAGTTCCATCTGCAAGTCTCACACCATGGTGTGTTTTTGCAGGCAAATTTGATGTAGTAGATTTCCCCGTCGTCCAGCTTGATAGGAAGCTCATCTTCAAACCGTTCTTCTGCTTCACGTACGAGGTCGAATTTTAAGTTCATCATCTTCGGTCTTGTCTTGTTTAGCTCTGGTGGGATGGAGTTGATTATGTGCCCCATCGAGGTCTCCACCATGGTCTCCATATGAAACATGGCTCTCAACGGAACTCTCAAGGCTGTTACTTAGAACTTGGATTCATCCTCCAGCCTTCTCCGTTCTTCCAATTCAGCTTTCGCCATCCATGGTTTAAAGACCATGCCATATTCGATCACGCGGATCACTACCTTGTCTTCGCCTTTGGCAATCATCCACCTCGCTACGTCTCTCGACTTGGCCACGTATGACATGACATTCGGTCCTTCGCCGTGGATTCTTCCTCGTTTGACTGATCGGTCGAAGATTCTTTCCCTATACCATCCGTTTTCATAAGCACGCACCAAGTCCTCTCTGATTCGCAGAGGACGATTTTGAGGTTCACCCTGAAATATCACCGTGACCGTTCTTTCTTTTAGCCACGCCGTGACCATGGCATCGAAACCTGGGTTGACTCGAAATAGTCCAACGCCCCCTTCCACACTCAACATGACAAAACTTCTCTGGAATAATCCCATCCTCATAGCACTTTGCTATTAGTATCGTCATCCGATTTTCGTCAGACATCGGAATGTCCATTCTGGTTTAAGGGGCTGCCGCTCTCCCATCCTCTTGAGTTGTCTCCATTCCTGGTTCCGCCATCGTGTCCTACCTTCTCCTACCGTTACCACCAGACTCCTTCGTATCAACGGCGGGCGCTCTATGGCGCTCGCCCACCAACGTACACCGGGTCTTCAATCTCATACCCAACTTACACGACCCTCGCAACCAATACACTCACATGTGTCGAAATAGCACACTCCTTGGCTCGGCGATGGGAGGACGGAGACTCTCGGTAGTGCCGAAGCGTCGCGCGCACGTCTTGGCGGTGAGTCGTGCGACCACCGAGACCGGCCGAACGCCCAGCCCAAAATTAGCGCTGCTTGGGCCGGTAACGCAAGTTCAGAGCGCTGCAGCGCCAGCCCCTTGTGTTCTGGAATCGTCCAAGCCTATTTTTTTTTCTCGCCACCCATACCCGTTGTTATTTTTCTTACCCCTACCCCTAACTGCCCCTACCTACCCTTGATCTCCAAAAGGGACAATTGTGCCCCCTTAACAACCACCACCTTTTGTTTGTGCCTTCCCATACCCAACTCCCCCTTCGGAAAGGGTACCCATACCGGCCCATAACCAGGCGGTTACAGTTGGGTACGGCCGGGTACCGGCAAAGGTTACCCATTTGCGCTCTCTGGCTGAATGGATGCATGTTACTCAGAAAGTCACAAGATGCATCCGTTACTATTCTTAGTAACGGATGCATCTCGCCATTCTCTGCCGGAAGATGCACTCGTACTTTTCCAGATTCGAGAGTGGTAATGAATGCATGTTACTCAGGAAGTCACAAGATGCATCCGTTGCTATTCTTAGTAACGGATGCATCTTGCCATTCTCTGGGGGCAGATGCACTCCTACTTTTCCAGTTTCGACAGTGGTATGGCGAGGCCCTAATCCCTGGTAGGAGCAGCTGTCGGGGCTCTTGCCGTTGCAGAGTAGCTGGCAAGACGAGGGGATGAGTGCAGCCAAAGGGAACGGAGATCGAAGGCCAGACGGAAGGTAGGACGAAATGCAGGAGGGCAGAAAGGGGCGGATGGGTGAGGCATGCGTGCGGTACCCGGCTGTTCACACGGGAGGTCTGGCCTGAGGGCGTGCCGCCGGGGCTGACCTCTGCGGCACGAGGACGACGTCTCGGCTGGATCTGTAGGGTGCCGAATTTATCAATGCGTTTTCGCTTCGAGACGAGGGGTTTCTTCCCCGCCAGGTGTCCTGCAAGTGATGTAGTCGTATCTGGTTATACGCACGTGTGCCTGGCCATTCCAAATCTTCTCATTCTCACTTCTCAGATCCCGTCCCGCGATCCGTTTACTGCGGGGGTTTCCTGCCTCCTGCCTTGGAATCGACTTTGGGTTGTCGTACGCAGTATCCTTCGCCAACTCTCTCATCTTGCTGCGGCAATCGCTTCCCTACGTCCTCCCCCCTTTGTTGTCGTGCCCTCTCGCAATCTATCTGACATGGTGGTGCGCATACTCCTCTCCCTGTTGTTTCACTTCAAGCGGATTCAGCAAAGCCGAACAGAACGACTGTATCGCGGTCCCTTTCTCGTCTGCTCCGCTCCTTCCGCGCCCCTTTGTCCCCGTCCTCGTCTCTAACGCGCGCTCTGGTGCCTTCTTTCTCGGTTGGTCGTGGCTGCACGGCAAAGGCAGACCTTCTGCAAAGTTTTGCTTCATCTGGTGTGGATTGGGCGATAATCGATGAAGATCAATGATTGATTGATCGGGCGGAGCCAATGAGTAGGCCCGTCTGCTGTCTGCAGATTGACTATTGCCACTTGTATAATTGTTGGGCGGAACTTGTGACCTTGATCTCTCTCTCTCTCTCTCTCTCTCTCTCTCTCTCTCTCTCTCTCTCTCTCTCTCTCTCTCTCTCTCTCTCTCCCGCGTACCCCCGCTTGCTCTCTCTCTTGTTCTTCCTTGCATCCTTCTTCCTTCCCTCTTCGTCTTCTTCCTCTTTCTGCTGTCCTTGCCATTGCGGGTCGCTCGCTCTCTTACCTGTGCAGGAGGGAATGAGATGCCATTTTTTCCATGGCTTCTGCTGTTTTCGTTATCGAGTTCGATGTTGTCAGGAGTGATCATGTGGATGGCAGACTGCTCGAGTGTATGGTGACTCTACTCGATTGTGGTGCTAAGGCGTCACGACGGGAACGAGACTGAAGGTCGGGAAGAGGCATTTGGTAATCGCGGAAGTATATTCTCATATATGTTTGTGACGATATATATGTATACATCCTAATCTATGTGTCCTCTCCATCCATCTATCTTCGAAAACTTGCGACACTGAGGTGCAGAGGGACACTCGAGTGGCGTACTCTTTGCTGTCCCTTCGTGGTCGGATACGATATGCGTGGGCAGGGTAACGATCCAGAGTTCGGGATGAGAGACTCGGAAAGGCGAGCTATCGGTCGAAGGACCCACTGTGTATGGATATGCCAACTTGGTGGCTGGTAGGCGAGCTATCGATCGAAGGACCACCGAGTATAGATAAGTGAAGTTGGTGTGTGTGGACGTAATTAATGGAGACCCCAGTCTCGTGCTGCGTTCTTGCGCGCATGCCGCGACGGAGGGAAGATTGGAGGGTACGGGCGATGGTCGTGACCGGTTATGTCGTACAGTGCGACACGTGGCAAGAGTGAGATTAACGTGTTCATCCTCTCCTGTTGTGAATGTATCAGGGGAACACGAGGATTGGGAGGAACAAGGGGTTGAGAGTGGTGGAGAGCGAAAGGAACGCAGATTTGGGCTATTTGCCCGACTGTGTATTCATGCGTCTGATCCTACTACTGGACGAGAATTTCGGGTCATCTTTTATTCCTGGTTGCCTTTCCGGTGATATGGTAGTTTGCCTAGGGAAGGAAAAACGCCGAGTCGTCGGTCCGCGAGAGCGGCACAGGAAGCTGGAAATGAGAGACGGTAAATATCGTCTTGGTTTAGCAGGTGACACAGGCGCGGGTGGATTTCGAGGATCATCCTTTGGTGTCATCTGCGGTTGCTGCCTGCTTTCGACCTTAATCTATGAGCGACCGAGAAGAGGGAGGCAACTCTCCTTCCCCGGTGGCTACTTACCCCAGTGACAGAAACGGAAGTTCCCTGACGGCGGACTCTTTCTGGGAGTGGTGGTGTGGACGCGTGTATATCTTGGTGTGCGGGTGCGTTTGTGCGTGATCTTACCAAGTGCAAGAGATAGACGGGTGCAGGGTGTGTGTGCGTGTGTTGTGTGTGTGGGGAGGGAGGGAGAGAGAGAGAGAGAGAGAGAGAGAGAGAGAGAGAGAGAGAGAGAGAGAGAGAGAGAGAGAGAGAGAGAGAGAGAGAGAGAGAGAGAGAGAGAGAGAGAGAGAGATGGTTAACTCCAAGAGTAGGGGTCAATCTGCGGGGCGCGGAAGTGAGAAGAAACAACTGATGCGTTTGGATGCGCATAGGTATATTGAATACATCCCCGCGAATCATCTGAATGGCACGGTGGGAAGTCAGATTCCATCGCCACTCGAGAAGGTTGACAGCTCGCACATGAGGGGAATCGGGAGCCGAGCTGCGAGTCGTCAATTTGAAGATGTGTACGGGAAGGTTTTTTCCTCAACGGATGATCAACAGCTGATGGCTGTGCCCCCGAAAGCGGCAATAATGCTGGGTTATGATCTGAGCGGGAAGGAATTATCGGCGGGTTCCGCCTCTCCAGTGTCGACTTTCAGCGAAGACTCGGATGGGGAGGAGGAGTATGACGAGGATGTCACGTTTTCGGAAGAGTGCAAAAAGCCCCCCCCTTCAGGCCCGGCGAAAGGGCAGAAGGGGGAGGATTCGCACGTAGCGAACGGTGCGCGGCAACCCGCAGAAGACGAGTCCGAGGCAATAGAGTTCAATCCTGGCGGGAGTGTGACTAATGATGATGGAGCGTCAAGCCCGCCGACGTTTCCATGGAATAGCTGGACGTCGAAGAAAGGTCCCAACGGTGGTGGTTGGGCGATAGGAAGGACGGGAGTGCCGCCAGGCGGTGGGAAGGGAGGAGAAGGACGAGGGGTCGCCTCACAGGATGTGGAGAGTTGCAGACGGCCAGTAATGGCGCGCACATCAACCCCGACGGGACACATGTCAACTCCGTCGTCGCCTAATCACGATTCCCTAGGGACTTCGCAGTACGCTCCGCGGGCTGTCTCTCTACCGACATCACCGGAGAGCGGGGATTTTCCTGGGAGTGGCGCTTCTTCAATGCTTAACACGAGGTCCAATCCCGGCTCTCCCAGCAACGGCAGGCTGCCTATGGGGGAGCAACCGAAGGCGGGAGGAAGGCCGACGTCACCGAGGCCGCAGCAGCTACCCCCTCCGCCTTTGATGTCGACGACGCCGAAAGCTTCTCTTTCGCCTAGGCAAAACCAGATGGTGCGCGTGCAGCAGCCCTCTCTGCACGTGGGACCTCCGCCGTCGCCCGTTTTCGGCGACGATGTTCACTCGTTCCGGTCGCCTCCCGGCTCTTCCGTTGGAAACGCCCCTCGAGGGGCAAATTTCACGCCTCAAGTCCTGTCTCCTGGTAGCTCCAGCCATGTGACAATGCTGCCGAAGAAGAGGCACCCGACGAAACCCCTGCCGCCAGCGTCTACCGATCCCGACGATGACGTCCTCCCGCAACAGCCATCGTCACGTCGGCCGTTTCCCGATGTCAATTCGCGAGCAGGGGCGCCATCAGCTGCAACAGGAGAATCGTCCCTCTTCTCTTCCACAAGGGAGTGGGGTTCCGGCAGGTCACCGCCGTATTGGAAAGGAGATCAGCCACAACCATGGGTTTCGATAATGATGGACCCGCGACTGGTAGATCCTCGCCCGATTGAACAGGAAGCGATGGATCCGGACACCTCGCCGAGAGGATCAGTAGTAGGAGGAGGAGGCCCATTCCGGCAGACGGGGTTGTCGTCGTCTGCTGGGACGTCGTTGTATCCGCCGCATGCATCGCCCTACCTAGATTGCATATACCCTCCTCATCCTTCTTCGCCACCCCCTGTCACGTATCCTGGTGTTCCTCTTCGTCCTCCTTCGCCTCCCCCTTATCCCTCCGCTACCTCCGCCTCTGGTTTTTCTTCCCAGGAAAGTATCTTTCGCTCGAACAGCGAAGAGATCTCTGGTATGCCAATGGGCGACTCCCCAAGGTCTTTCAGGAGTTTCAGGAGTTTTACGAAGGGAAAGAAGCTTGGCAGCGGAGCCTTCGGAACCGTTTACGAGGCCATGACCCCGTGAGTAAGCGAGCCACTTGGACTTGCCGTATCCCACTGGCCCTTGATGCGCCTTGCTGTGTCAAACGAGTTGCCAAAAGACTGCACACGTGTGCATTCATTTCTGTTCTTCTGCACTCACGCACGCACACATATCGTGAATGAGCGAAGTTACTCCCCTCCCTCCTCCCGCTCTACGTGTCACGTCATGTTCCTCCCCCCTCATCTTTTCCCCCTATCCCGCCCCCCTCCTTCCTCTTCCCCCTCTTCCCCCTCTCCTCTCCCGCCCTCCCTTCACTATCACGACGGACAGGTGCAGTGACACGGTCAAACTGATGAATGGGAGCATTCCAATCGGTGCTGTGATGAGTACTCTTTCATGGATGGGAATGCTAACGGGGATGCAGTGATGGGCGCGCATGCTGATGGGGGTAAGTGATGGGGATATAGCAAAAAAGGTGTATAGTGATGGGTGTGGAGATGTGGTGATGAGTGTCTTTGTCCACACACACACACACACACACACACACACACACACACACACACACACACACACACACACACACACACACACACACACACACAGAGAGAGAGAGAGATAGAGAGAGAGAGAAGATTCCACTTCCGCGGCGCAAGGGCGGCCAAGCTTTGAAATCGAAGTGGAAAGAACGGAGGCCGCCCAATTGGACGGGGGGCGTGATGAAAAGATGCCGCTTCGTACAGGGGCAAGACGCACGTGGCGTATGTGAGAATCTCTCTCTCTCTCCCTCTCCTCTCTCTCTCTCTCTATCGACGGGTGAAATCTACGAGGTTTTGCGAAGAAGATGGAATGGCAGACTGCGCGGAGTCGTTCGGGAACGAAGCTTCTTTTACTGCCAAGCGGCTTTTTTAGGACATTTCAAGTGGGGGTTTTGTTTTTAAGAAGGGGTTGCTTTGTGTCAACAAGTGGGAGTGTGATGTCTTCAGCGCACCGGATGTCGATCCACCGGAGTGTGGAAATTGCCTGGTTCCACCAGATCGAACATACCTACTCGTGGTCGCAGGTTATACAGATCAAAGGCGAGGATGTGACTGCCTCGCGTCCAAGGGTCTATTGCCATCTGAGAGTGGACGGGGCTGTCCGTATGAGTTTGGCTGGCAGTATTAAATTTCCTCTATCATTCAAGGAAAGCCCGAAGAAGGGAGTTCGGGGCCGGGGGGGGGACGGTGTTGGGCGGAAGGCGGGCCGTGAAAATGCAGGAGCTTCTTGGTGAATGCGAAGTTTGATGGACTGGTGGATAATTGGTGCAATAATTAGTAATTAGAAGTTGATGGACGACAGCAGGCTTTTGCAGGGTATCAAGGGGAAGCGAGAGCCAATGTGGATCCGGGAAGAAGCCGTGAAAAGACGACAAGCGGTTGAATGAATAGGCCCGTGAAGAGAGAACAACGAAGAGGAGGAAAAGGGCCGAGGAGATGGTTTGGACGGGAAGACGTCGTAGAAGAGAGGCGGTTAACACATGAAAATACAAAACAGAGGCGGTTAGAACATGGAAATACAAAAGAGAGGCGGCGAAGAGGAGACAACAACGCAGGAGGGAGGGAGTGCTTGAATAAACCACAACCTCCTGAGATCGAGGTCGCCCTTTCGGATATAACAAAATCCTGTGCTTGTCGAGCGCAGTCAACCCAACGCAGCAACTGACAAAGGGCGGGTCGCGTGGTAATGATGGTGCCATGTGGGCGGAGGTAGTGGTGGTCGAAGGCAAGAGGAGACCGAAGAAGAGGTGGGTAAGGGGACGAGGAGATGAACGGACACGGCACCTAAAAAGGTAAAAGATTGAGAGAGGAGGGCAGTGAGTGAGGAGGGTAAGAACATCCCGGAGAAGCGGCGGCCAAAGGTGGTGGAGATGAGAAGGTAGCGACGAGGAGAGTGACGGGATTCGATCGATCTGCAGCGGAGAGGAGAGAAGTTCACAGGCTCACGATTGAATGAGCGACGGAGCAGTGTAATAGAATATATCAAAGAACATTTGGCGAAGGCGTGAAGAGAACGTGTCGACGCGGAGAGGGAAAAATGGATTCGGAAGGGGAAAAAAAAGAGGAGAGGAAAAAAGGAGAGAAAAAAAGGAGAGAGAAAAAAGAGGAGAGAAAACAGAGGAGAAGAGAGATTCGTGATTGGACAAGTCGCAAAGCAGAGTGAGCTTGCTCGCTATACGTGCCAGAAAGTGGGTGTTGCCTGAGGGAAGGCTTGCTGGCGTCGTGGAGAACGGGGTTGTGAATGATGGTCCCAAAATGTAATATTAGAGAAGTTGTGAGAGGCATCAAAATTGCGGAAACGCAACAAGAGGAAGGAATGCGGGTGAACAAGGAGAAAAGATGTCTGAGAAAAAAAATGTGGAAAATGCCGGAAAGGACGGGGTACATACTCAGAACCGTAGTCAAGAAGAACGAGATTGACCAGTGAAAAAAGGAGAAAAATGCTTACGGGAGGCTAAAAGAACACGGCAGAAGGAGGAATTGGGAATTGGGAGGCATCAAAACTCTGAAAACAATCACCGCAGCTGCGGCGGGTGAGCAAGGTGGAAACATGGCTGAGAACCGGTGGGAAAGGCCGGGAAAGAAAAGGTTACAGATTTGATGATAATTGGGTGGAGAGGATGCAAAACACCTCAGGGCGTACTCACACTGGGACTTTTCTGACTCATCACTGGTTTTGGTTGCGTTCAGATGCATGCACGAGAAGCCGCAATTTCGGTCAGATACATGCAATAAAATCGTAGTTTGAGTACGCTCTCAGAGTGGCGGGAAATTCTTGGGAGCGATTGGGCAATGATGCCTGACGAGCGACACTGGCAAGAATGGCCGCAGAATGGCGCAAAGAACCCAAAACCGCTCGATAGCCAGAAAGACCGAAGGGCGTCGGTGCGATTTACAACTCCAGAGGGGAGAGAGAAAAAGTGAAAGCATGTGGAAAGAAGAGGGAGGACATGATAAAAGGTTTCTGAAAGAATCGACTGGTGGATGACTGGGGCTGCCTGGCGGATGCTGGGTGTGGATTGCCTTCATCCGCTGTTGTCAATCACTTCCTGAATATCCAAGCACGTGTGCACATATACATAAACGCAGACACACACACACACACACACACACACACACACACACACACACACACACACNAGAGAGAGAGAGAGAGAGAGAGAGAGAGAGAGAGAGAGAGAGAGAGAGAGAGAGAGAGAGAGAGAGAGAGAGAGAATTTGGGTTTTGCGATCGAGTGCAAATTGATTGAACGTAGTGTATTTCGGGGGGGAGGGAGAAAAAAGAACGACGCTGTGGATGAAGATAGAAATCCCACTTGGGTTCAATCAATGGGTGTAGTGATTTGAAGGGAACTAAAAGTACCTGGTATCGCATTGGATTGGAATCGTGCTTTCAGTGATGGCAAGTTTTATGCAGTGAAGGAATTGGATATGTCGGTGGCCGTTGGCAGTCAGGATGCACAACAAGCGCTTGCCTCGCTCAAGCAGGTTCGTGTCTGCTCTTCTCTTTGCCTTCTGCTACCTGTCGGGGTTTGAGGTCCTGCTCTCCCGTCTTCAGAGAGCAATTTCGTTTGTGCATCCATCCATGACTCCCCCCCATGATGCCATGATGCCGGTCATCCTTATCGTTGGTTTACTTTTTTCCAGCATCATCTCTACATCATATCTGGCAACCACCGTCCTTGGCATCGATCCTCTCTCCATGATGGCTTCCTGAACCTCCGTGGCGGCTTCGGGAACCTTCATGGTTGTGTCCCAAGCCTCCAGCATGGCTGGATGCCATCCATTTGTGTGCTGCCTGAACGAATTTTTTTGGCGGCATTATTCCCGTGCATAACTTTTGCATCATGTCTCTCAACCATCCATGTCTCTGAACCATCCTGGTCATTCTTTGAAATCACATCCCATGATGGCTCAATTTTAGCCTTTCAGATCATCATGCCTGCGTTGCCCTTGCAGGTGTCATTCCTGCATCGGAGATCTTCCTCAATCATCGTGTGCAGTCCTGGAGAGTATGATTGTTTGTGAGTCATAATTATCCCAGGACGACTGCTGCTTATGTCGGCCACATTTTGATGGGTTGAAGAACGTGCCTATGGTAGGTGAGTTACACGCGAGAGACTTGCGTTTATGCCACCAAACTGCTTGTTACACACAGGCTGTATCAATCCCTTGTCATTCTGGGCTCATTCCTCTCCTGAGGCATCTCTGCATCTTTCCTGATTCGCTACTGGGCCATTCCCTGGACCATCCCTCGTGGATTTCAAGGGTCCTTGACAATCGTCCATGCATCTTCCTAGATTAATCTGTGTACGATGATGTATCTTTCTTGGTAATCCCTTGGATGAGTGGGTGTCAGACGTGGGTGCTTCCACCGCCAGACCGGTTTTCGCCCTGGACCATTTCCGCACCTTTCATCATTACTTAAGCATTACCTCATCATTCCTCGAAAATTCTTGCTCACACTCACCGCATGTCATGGGCTGATCGGGTGATGGGGATGCATCCGGCAACTTGCTTCGCACCTCCAGTTTCTTGTGCTTGAGCTGCATGCCGCAGATTGTTCAGTCGTGGTTGTTGTGACTTGTACGGGCAGAGCTTACCCAAGTTCCTTCTGTCAATCTGTGTAAGGCCGATTGGGATGCCCAGCATTCTTGTGTGAGGCCAATTGGAATGCCCATTGGGATTACCTCGGACCACAGATACCGTCCCTCTTCCCAACAGTAGAAAACATGGCCTGAACGTGCTCCAAGTACAAGGAGTATATATTGACTGTGGCTTCTGTCTGGGGGAAGATGGTAGCAGTTGAATTCCAGACTGTTTCACAGGAGTTCTAAATACACTTGGAGAGGACTTAACGAACCAGCTGTATCATTTTCTCCGCAGGGGATTCTGTTCTTTGGGGGAACACTTGAAGAATGCCGTTGGATCTGCCTTTACGTACGTGTGAGAGTATGTGTGGCTCCTGGGGATTTTGGAAAGGCACATTGAACCTGACTGTAAACGTGATTAGAGATTGTTTTTGTCTCATGACACTTTGTTTTTGGCCAAGGCAGTTTTGGCTAATGCGAAAGTGAATACTGTGGTTGGCTGAGGCAACTTGTGGCAGAAATGGCCCTTGTGCCAGGTGCATCCTTTCGTTGCTTGCTTGTTATTCAGATGATGTACTGTGATTGAATGATCATATCCTGGGCATAAACAAAGTGTATGAAACAGTGTGGCCCTTTTCTGTGTGGAAGCTTGTGCGGTGATGGCAATTTTGCCTGTGCATCCTTTTGTTGTCTGCCAGTCACAACATGTATTGTGTGAGTGAATGGGTAGTATCCCGGGCATAAACGAAGTGTATGAAACATGAAAGTCCCTTTGTATCCTTTTGTAAGGTGTATCCGTTGTGTCCTGCATGCGGGATGTGCCCTGGTTTTGTCAAGGAGAAAAGTGAGTGACCACGTTTGGCTGAGGGTGGAGTAAGGTGAAGTAAATCAAAACTTCCGCTGAAGGAACGGGATGTGCGACTGGTTTTGCAAGAAGAAAAGTGAGTGACCACGTTTGGCTGAGGGTGGAGTAAGGTGAAGTAAATCAAAACGTTTCGCTGACGGATGCGGCCTTCGTTCCAACTTCCCAGATTTTGTGAATTTTGCTGGCTCATGTTCGTTTCCATTCCCTTTCTTTCCCCCATCATTTCTGAATTGCACTGGATATTTTATAATCCTGCAACTTTTTGACTTCTCTTGCGTGTTTGTTTGTTTGTTTGTTTGTTTGTTTAGGAGGTGGAGCTATTGAAGCGGCTGCAGCATCCCAATATTGTCCAATATTATGGAACCTTTGAGGTGAGACACTTGTTTTCCACGCAAAATGTTTCATATGCACACTTGGACCATTGGATGACTGATGTCCACCTGTGCATAGAGGGCTGTGCTCTTTTGTGTGCGTGCGCGCGTGTGCGTGTGTGTGTAATGAACCCAGTCTGGAAGGAAACTCGTCAATGTCGAAGTACAAGATATATCAGCGCTAGTCAATGTCCCCAATAATCATGAAATGTGATCTGAAATACAATGTCTCGTAACCAGAGGACGAAGCTGATAGGAGGGAGATAAGACTCAGAGGGTGGAGGAGAAAGTATCCATCAATGTCATCGTCGATAGATCTCCCTCATAACCCACTCCTCCTTCGGGCATCTCCCCTCTTCCACGTCAGCAAACAGTATCCCAGAGACGAGCCTGACGAGATCCGATCACAGCGTAGTGCCACGTAGGCACAGATCTCTCCTGAAGATGAAACAGCAGCGCGCCATGTCGACAGCATCAATCAGGTAAGTTCCCCACTCTCTCTCACAACCAATCTCACAGCCCTGATGTTACATGCTGCGCCTGCACATGGGCCCCATTTCAGGGGCCCTACGGTTGCTGAGAGCCCCCCAGGTCGCGTGCCCATCAGACACACGCCCTGGAGGCTCGCAGCGGCCCTTAGGCCGCGGGTACGGATTTGCGTCAGCATTCATTTGTTTATTGATTTATTGCTGTCCTATTTTTGTCTGTTCAGACATTGTTTAGGACTTGCAGTCCCCAAGGCTACACCTTGGGCTGGGTACACCAGGAGGCAGGGCCGATGGAGGCCAGGCGCGTTTTGGTGCCCTGCTGCATCATCAGCAGTACGGTCTGGACGCCTGGCAGGGGCCCCGACCGTGCGGGCCGTTTTCAGGCCAACGCAGCAGCGCACCCAGCCGGCCAAGCGCCACATATAGCTGGGCCTCGGTTGAGCAGACACACAGTTCGAGTAGCTCACTTCTTGGGTGACATGCTGCTGGACCAGTGCTGCACACTACAGCGCTGCGCTAGGAGGTAAAAGTAGAGGTGTAGGTAGGCAGAGGGGCGGGGGCCATACCTGCAGCGGCGGACTTACCTGGCACCATAGCTGGGACTCCGCGCGCCGACCTGCACACGACGACGGCGACGGTCAGTCACGGGGACGGCTACCTGCAGGTGAGACAGCGAGGAGTATGACATCTTCTGCTTCGTCTTCGTCTTCGTCTCGCCCTCCATCTGGTCTCCCTCCTTCCTCCTCCCCCTCCTTCTTCTTCAGAGAGAGAGAGTACAGGCAGAGGTTACATCGGGCATATTGCCCAGGATCTGATCCGACATTTTTGTAGCAGACATTGATTGGACAGTTGGCAGGGGACTATTTTTGGTCTTCTCCCTTGCCTTTGTCTTCTTCTCGCCTCTCCCCCCATCTCTATCTGTGGTATCTCCCCCATGTATGTGTGCAAGGAGGGACCTTTCTTCTGTGTATGCGGTCCCTCCTCCCTCTCTCACATGTGTGGTGTATGATGGGACGTCGCGTCAGTCTCAGACAGGTCAGGTCATATCTTTGAGTCTTCCACTGTGCTGCGTTGTGCTATTTTGTATGTACTGGGATGTTGTTACATGCTGCGCCTGCACACGAGGGCCATTTTCCAGGCCCTGCGTCCCTCAGGCTGAAAGCCTGAAAACCAGGGCCTACAGGCCCCGTGTCTGTTCAGCCCGAAAGCCTGAAAAACAGGGGCCTACAGACCCTGTGTCGTTTCAGACTAAAAATGGCAGTAGCCTTTTTGGCCTGAAACGAAGGGCCAATTTCGGTCTGTCATCCGACCGACCTGCCCTGAAACTCGGGCACCGAACCAGGGTTTTAGGAACAGGCTATTTTTGGCCTGTTCCCACGACAGCTGCAGTGCCAGCCCTTGGCTCGGTTGGGCATTGGCAAGAGCAGCCTCCTGGACTGCCCGCCCTGCAACTGCAGGCAGTCGGAGGCAGTCAGGAGGCAGGCCGAGGTAGTACATAGGGACTTCCCATGCACTTCACGGGTAGGCAGGAGGCAGTCAGTAGTCTTCAGGATTCGGCAGCAGCACTCTGGAGGGAGTGCTGCAGGAGTAGTAGTAGCGTTAGCATTAGTCTTCAGCGCTGGGCGCCAGTAGGTAGCTGTAGTCTTCAGCGCTGGGCGCCATAGCTAGGATAGTGCTAGAGAGAGAGAGACTGGGCGGAGGCCAGGAGTACTTACCTGCAGCGCCGTTGCTCCAGCTTCGTCTTCGAGGTACCTGCAGCACAGCGCCAACTTCACAGGTTAGTACCTGGCTCGTGACAGAGAGAGAGTTCTTCTTCTTCCTCTTCTCAGTCCACCATCTCCCTCTCACCCTCTCATTACCTGACTTCACTGCATCAGCAGACGACGAGAGAAAGAGAGAGAGAGCTTGGTAACATTGGATCCAGACTCGACTTTTGGGCTTCAGACATTTCGACGAGGGATTATTTGGGACTCGTGACAAAGACTCGGTGTTAACGACATTCCAATCTCTCCCCCTCTTCTTCATCTGATCCCCTCCTCTTCGTCTGTGTATCTCTGGACCTGGCGCTTCCTTGCTGTGTATAGCGCCAGGCTCCTTCACATCTTGTGATGAGCATGATGTGTGTTTGGTCTGCGGTGAAACATTGATTGGGCTAGTCATCAGTATTCTAGCATTCTGCTTCGCTATCTTGTACTACGTGAAAGAGGTCAGTCTCGATCAGGTCAGGTCTTGTATCCAAGTCTTCCCTGCGCTATTCAGCACCATTTTGTATGTATCAGAATGCACATTGCTTGTTGAGATTCTACTTGCACTGCATTGTCCATTCAGTCGTTTTTATCACATTGCGGATCCTCGGTTATTAGGTACATCGTCGCCCAACTGGGCATGTAACAGATGTGCATTGCTTGTTGATGCTTTGATGACATTGCATTGTCCATTCTAGTCCTGTTCATCACTTTGCGGATCCTTGGCTCCATATACCTTGCCCAACTGTGCATGTATCACCTGATCTCCCTCCTCGTCGATACCCCAATCTGTGTCGTAGACAGTGTGGCAAACATCATGTCAGCAATCAAGTATACAGCTGGCGCCGAGAGCCGAGAGGCGCCAGCACGCAGTGCAGCAGTCTCGCGTCGTCGTCGCACACTGCCAGCGTAGTGCAAGCGTCAAGCCAGCGTCGTGCCAACGTCGAGCAGCAAGTGCAAGACTGAATGTTGACCAACAGTTACACAGTTGACCAGCCTCTGGTCTCTCAGGTACGAAGGCTCAGATTGACTCACAGCCGATGGCCTGGATCGTGTACGGTTGCAGACTTCCACTTGGACCAAATTCTGCGTGGATACCTGCATACAGCCAAGTGTATGGTGGTTGGCAGCACATCCTGTGGCCTGGACTGGGTCCGTGCAGACTTTGACTCGTGAGCCTCGCTATTCTGAGATACAGTTGACTTTGGTCAACTGTCGGGCGCTGGGCCTCTGAAACCACGTTTTGGGGGCCTTGTTCCCCATGGTCTGGCGCAGGGCCTTGCTGCGGCCTGTGGGCGGCCCTTGGCCAGCGACAATAGCATATTTGGAGCGGGTTATTGCATATGTGTGTGTATATGTATGTGCCCTCCTCTCTCTTTTTGTGTGCATGTCTGTGCATGTGTGTGTATGTGTGTGTGCGTGTGTGGAGAGAAATTGTACATGCTAAGGGAAAGCGATAAGAGGCCTGGTGTGTGTTATCCCAGTCCCGGGCATCACCTCCTCAAGTGCGTAGTCCTATGCGCATGGCACTCACTATGGTGGTTGACAGCACATCCTGTGATTTCTTCATCTCCTTGCCTTCTATGACCTCATCTTCCGTGGTTTCTTCATCTCTCACTTTTTACATTGTTCACTCGTTACCACCTTGGCTTTGCGGGCTCTGTCTCCACTGGGTTTCCCATCCCCTACGGTTTCATCTTTTCCTCATTCTCTGCCAACCTTGCTTTCTTGGGATGAAATTCTCCCGGATTCTGCATCCGTCCTGATTCAGTCACCTTTTCTCCTCCACCATTACCTCTGCCGCCTTTCTTCCGCCTATAGTTTATTTACTCCCTTGGTTGGGTGCTCCACTCTTCCCTGCTATTCTTCTGTTGAGATTTGCCAAACTGCACCCAATTCCAGCACGCATCCCTCACACAAAACTGGTGGGAAGCAAAATCACACTTGATTGAAAACCTCATGAAAACTGGAACGGAATGTTCACTCCGAGATAAATGATGAAAACGATAAACGAGTGTGTTGTGTCCACTTGAGTGCCTCACTGCCCTGAGTCTCGTGCAACCAGTGGGACATGAAATGATGCAGTAAACATCTAGAGATCAGTAGCTTTGACTGCTCCCAGACCCTCTCGTTCAGACTCTAGTAGAGTTGCTGCTCATCTCTCCTGGCTTGCCGAACTAAATGAACGAGATATGTCTGACGTCTCTCCTTGCTTGCCAAACTAAAGGAACGTGATATGTCTGATTCGCTAAATATTCCTCCTCTTCTCTTTTTGCTTCTGCCAAATCTCTCTCTAACTGTTGTCCAAGAGCGGTCTGCGGAATCACTGCGGGTCCAGCCATCTGGCTTGTACTAGCTGGATTGATCTGGCTTGACATTTTGGAGTGAGCAGGTGAGGTGTCTGCCATTGCTGACCGAGATGCTTCAGCCTCTGATGTACGTAGGGACATCTAGCAGTCTCACTCCTCATCACCGGTCTATCGTCCTGGTCACGCTGTCTACCACTCATGCGCGTTAGAAACAACTACTCTCAGTGTCAGGACAGCCTGTACTAACCAGTAGAACTATGGATACAATCCAGGTCCCAGCAACCATGCCGTAACTCTAATAAGCTCTATAAAAGATGTAGCTGAAGGAGTTTACTAAACAGGTTCTACAATGCCCCTCTCTGTTTGTCCGTCAGGAAATCAAACAACAACCATAATTTGCTGTAAAACAATAAAACAAAGTGTATGACATGTGGAAATGGAAAACTACTTACAGGTGA